AGGCCTTGTTGGTATCATTTTAAGCAGCTGTTGGAAACATTCTGACATCTCGTCCAGGTGAAAGAGACTCTTCAATGCCTTTCTGGTGAACCTACATCACAATAATCTTAGACAAACTACCGCTCACTTTAGACATGATTTTAACTACATCACAAATAGAACCAGTCCAAAATCTGCCTTTTTAAGTTTCACTAATTTGAATAATCAATTAGACCTTTGATACAAAGCTATTTGTTTTTCATTTGTTTGTTATGCATAATTTTCATCACATATATCACAGATTATTATTTTTATAATAAAATACATTAAATTCACTGAATTTGTGATTATTTTGGCAGTATCTGTGTGTATTAACTGATTTGATGCCCTTTAAACACGAGAAAGAACTCACGTTTCAGTTTACATTTAATTTGGGGTTTAATAGAGACTGATTTTTCCTCTAAAAGACAGGTGGTGCCCACACAACAAGGTTATTTGCATAATAAATGCATATCTTATGAGCTTAACTCAAAACTGATCATTTACAATAAATATCCAGCCCCATATCCCTCTACAACTGTATTCAAGTTATTTGTCCAAGTTCAGCTTCACAAAATAGTTTTCTTGTGGGTATGTGTGTGTGTGTGTGTGGGGGGGGGGGGGGGGGGTTGTTTGTTTGTTCGTTTGTGTATACTTTTTTTATTTTTTCAAATTTATTTACTTCTGCAAATTTTGTATAGTTTAGCCATAGATATATTAAAGTGTTCAGCTCATTCTGAACTGGGCACTTTTGGTTTATGAACTTTTCTTTTTTACTTTTCTTACAAATACTGTATTGTTCCCATAAAAACATTGTGATTTCTTTAATTATTATTATTTATTATTATTAACATTGTTTTCATCTGCTTTAACATGTTTGTTCACACCCATATGCCCAGCATTTGACACGTTCTGGCTTGCCTTACCTGTTTATGTCAGTTTTCTACCATGTGACAGCTCTAGTCACCTCACAGAGACTGACTCGTTCATCAATAGTCATGAGGAGCCTGGCTGGCCTGGTTCTGAACAGGCTCATTTGAGCACAGGCTCTACAGACAACATTATTAATTTTTCTGCTGTGAAGCTGTGGACCAGGAAGTGAGAAAGATTAGTGAGGGAGAAGTTCAGAAAGCTCTGAAAAGAATGAAGAAGGAGAAGGCAGTAGGACCTGATGACAACAGTGGAGGTTTGGAAATGTCTTGGAGAGATGGCAGTGAGGTTTTTGACTCAAATATTCAATGGCATATTTGAGGGTGAGAAATGCCTGAGGAATGGAGAAGAAGTGTGCTTCTGCTCATTTTAAGCACAAGGGTGATGTACAGATTTGTAGCAACTACAGCGGACTTAAGTTGATGAGTCACACGAGGAAGATCTGGGAGAGAGTTGTGGAAGCTAGACTTATACGAGAGGTGACTATCTGTGAGCAGCAGTATGGTTTCATGCCAAGAAAGAGCACCACAGATGGAGAAGTACAGAGAGGGTCAGAAAGAACTCCATTGTATCTTTGTGGATTTAGAAAAAGCATATGACAGAGTGCCAAGAGAGGAGGTGTGGTATTGCATGAGGAAATCTTGAGTGGCAGAGAAGTATGTTAGACTGGTACAGGACATGCACGAGGACAGCAGAACAGTGGTGAGATGTGCTGTAGAAGTGACAGATAGCTTCAAGGTGGAGGTGGGAGTGCATCAAGGATCGGCTCTGAGCCCCTTCTTGTTTGCTCTGGTGATGGACTGACTAACAGATTAGGTCAGGCAGGAATCCTCGTGGACTATGATGCAGATGATGTTGTGTTCTGTGGAGAGAACAGGGAACAGGTGGATGAGAACTTAAAGACGTGGAGGTACGCACTTGAAAGAAAAGGAATAAAAGTCAGCCATAAGACAGAGTACATGTGAATGAGAGAGAGGATGGTGGAACAGTGAGGCTACAAGGAGCAGAGGTCACAAATATGCAGGACTTCAAGTACTTGGAGTCCACTGTCCAGGAAAATAGGGAGTGTGCTAAAGAGGTGAAAAAGAGAGTCCAGACAGGATGGAGTGGATGGAGAAAAGTTTCAGGGGTGATTTGTGACAAAAGGATGTCAGCAAAGGTCAAAGTAAAAGTTTACAAGACAGTGGTGAGATCAGCTATGTTGTATGGTCTGGAGACAGAGGCATGGACAAAAAGACAGGAGACAGAACTGGAAGTGGCAGAAATAAATATGTTGAGGTTCTCCTTAGGAGTGACAAGGATGGATAAGATTAGGAATGAGATCATCAAAGGTACAGCAAAGGTTGAACAACCGGGAGATAAAGTTAGAGAGACCAGACTGAGATGGTTTGGACGTGTCCAGAGGAGGGACAGTGGGTATATTGGTAGAAGGACGTTAGAAATGCAGCTGCCAGGAAAACGACAAAGAGGAGATATGTGGATGCAGTTAGAGAGGACATGGAGGTAGTTGGAGTGAGGACATAGTGAGATGGATGAAGATGACTCGTTGTGGAGACCCGTGAAGAGGGAACAGCTCAAAGAAAATGAAGTCAAACTGACTGTTTCCCACTTAATGTTTATGTAGATGAACAGATGCTGGGATATATTCATCATTTAACGCGAGTTCCTCATTTTTCTGGACTGAATAAAACGTGCACTGAATTTAAGGAAATGCAAAGTGAGACGTCATTTAGATTTGACCCATCAAAATGAATGCGGTCATTTATTTACAGAATCAAATTTAACATCAAACATTTACATTAATTTGGCAAATTATGAGAATAACAATATAAGCAATCAATCAGGAAAAATCATACGGCCATGATTTTTCCGTTGCTGCACCAAAGACATTTATGAAAACTGTACAACTATGATCTTTTACCCACATGAATGTGGGTGAGCATTTTACACAGACATTTCTAAATATCTGGGAGAATTTCTACTTCATAGGAAAGTTTAAAGATGGAAAGAAGTTTAGAGGGAGTAAAGGATGGGGTTTGAGGGAAATTGAATGTACACCAGAACCGACACTCTCCATCAGAAGCCCAGCTCGCCTCGGTACGCTTGGTAGGAAACTTGACCCATTACCTTTCTGATGATAATCAGCAGATATGGTGTTCCGTTAACGCTACCGGTCCAGCGTCTCCTTAGATTGGCTGTAGCCCGTCAGAAGTAGTGGCGAGGCTCTGTTCGACACACATTCACCTCAGTGGAAAATGTTATAATCCCATGGAACTCGGAAGAGCTTTGTTGTCATGTCAGGAACTCCAACAGCACTCCATCAGAACTCCAGAACTCTAGAAGTCTGACAACTCTCCAACTCCGTGAACTCTGTAACTCCGTGAGTCGTAAGTCACTCTGAGTCCCTGTGAGTCTGTGTAGACCAGGAAGTACTGACATTTTAAAGACTCTTTCCCGGTTCACTTTTTGGGATTTTTCATTGGTCAGAAACGACCAGAAGGGGTGTGTTTTTGTGACGTAAGAGGTTAGAGACAGCGAGAATTGTTATGAGACAGCTCAGAAATGTTCTCACAGACCGAGAGGGTTCTGTTTTGGCGTGTCTAAGAAACAGGTGCAAAACATCTCTATTTACGTCTGAGAGGATTCTAAAACATGACAGTTTTAACATAACAACTTGTTTTTCGTTTGACTGTAACCTTGTAAACGCACACACTTGCTCATTCAAAAGCAGAAATCAGAAAAATGCATAATTACTCTGCAACAGCTTTTAACATGAGAATAAAAATCATTACTCAGTTAATAAAATTGATTAGTTCACTGCAACATCTAAAATGGTTTGAACTAAGACACTTTGATTATCAACATTTGTAAGATAGTAATGATAATAAAAAGAGAGTGTTCTTTTCACTTGAATCTTCAAGAAAGAAAGTCTCAGGATGGGTGAACCTGTATCTATGTATTCAAATACATGAAATGACAGTTCCTGTCCCACAAGGTTCTAAAGGTCAAGAGTTTTGACCTTAGACTTAGTTTCGACGTAGGCCTAGTCCACTACATTTATGATTACCAGTGTTTGGAGGTACTTTAAAACTGTAAAACATCTTTCATTCCTTTATCTAAAGAACACAAGCAACAAGATCTGCATTCCAAAATGTAAAATGATTCCTTTAATCGTTCAACACTCAGTGCCCAAACGAGGGACTGAATGAGCATTCTGTTCTTCCAGAAGGGCATTTGCTTTTTGATTCTGTTGCAGTTTCTTTATCCAAAAGAATAAATTGCCTTCAAGTTTTAATCCTTTCTATTTAACAAAACAACAGTAAAGGGCAATTGCCTTTGTATGCCAATTTATGAGTTCTAATACTTTCAGTATTCAATCTGATTATTGTCGTATTATTTGGTGAAGCAACAAAATCCTTGAAGCTAACAAATCTGAATCCTACTGGGGAAAAAAAGCTCCAATCTCAATCTAATTTTTCTTCAATAGTCTGCAAAGTACAAAACAATCTGTATCTTTTTTATTTGTTTGACACGAGAAGCTTCAAAACTGAAACCTGTTCAAAGTAAAATGCACCACTTCTTTCAATATGGCATTTGAGTTTTGTATGAAATACCACCCATGGTGTTAAAGGTGGAACAGATAATCTGGGATGATAAGTTTCAGTCAGATAGAGTTTTAAATAAAATCATGAGTCAGTTTTACATCATCTTGAAAGGTCGTCATCTTAAGCGTCAGTCTGCTGAGACCTGACAAAGAGGAAACTCAGAGTTGTATCAGAATCATCAGGCTGCAGATCTGTTACACTCTGGGCATCGTTCACTTTTATTTCTGCATTCAGACTGTAGGTTGAACATGTTTGGGGAACTGTTATCCTAATCCATTAAGTAAACTTCCCAAATACTACCGCTTTTGTCCCAAACTGTGGGCTTACATCACCATCTGCCGTCAACAGTTTAAACTTTTGGTTGCAAACGCTGGAGGAGACTAAAAAGCTGGGACTAAAGAACAGATTTCCCTTCTGTGTTGACCTTGTTTCTCTAATTCTCCACAGATCCGCTCAGATCAGGACAAGGCTGTCGGCATCCGCTACAGCATAACCGGAGCGGGCGCCGATCAGCCCCCGACTGGAATCTACAACATAGACCCCATCAGTGGCAACATGTTTGTCACCCAACCCCTGGACAGAGAGGAGAGAGCATCCTTCCATGTAAGGCAGAACGTCTGCTCTGTGTCTGTTATCACTCTTTCCCCAATTATATCTGTCTCGTTACTTCCCAGCTATCCCTGTGAGGAAATGGCTTTTCTCGCCTCCCGGCTTCTTTTGTTCTTTTCTAACATACATTCAGAAGAGCGGCTCCTCCATACCTTCAAACAAGCCTCTCAAGACATGAATGATCTTGAAGCCAACGATATGAAGAAGAAAGAATGCCTCGACAAAACACACTGACACTTGTGCTGCCATTTCCTGTAGATTGGAGGTTTTGTTGCACGGAGCGCTGAGATGGAATGGGGGGGCAGCCAAGGTGATGTGAAGGAAAACTTGTCTTTCTTCTTACCATGGGCGCTAATGAGCAGGTGCAGCTTTAGAAGTGTGTCTGCAAATTGGTGTGTTTCTTTGGATGGCCTGCAGATTGATAAATGTTTGTTTACATCTTCAGCAAGCAACTTTTTTTTTTCTCCTCTTCCCCGTCTCCTCTCGGTTTCCCAAAGTGTCCTTCCACTTTTCTTTTTGTGTGCATTTCAGACCCTCTCGTTACCTATTGCACTCTGAGCTGCAGGAATGATCAATGGGGCGACCTGACAGCTGCATGCAGCCTGTAGGATTTAACTCTCACACACACACGAGGCTGAAGGGTTGAGTTCATGACTGGTTTCTCCCTCGCTGGATCTCCAGGTTAAACTCCTGTAGACGTTTGAATTAAATATCCAGACCACTTGAGACATATTCGAACGCTCACCCATTAGTTGTTATATGCACATTAGAGGTTTCAGTTCATACCAGCCAACACTAACACCTGCACTCGAGGTGAGTGGTTTTGTCGAGCTCACGGCGCCTACGTGCCTGTCAGCATGATCGATGGTCAGGCTGCTGATAGAGCTAATTCAACGGCCAGCTTTTGTGTTTGGAGACAGGATAAGAATGAGTCTTTTTTATTGCACACACTGCAAACATTAATGCACGCACAGTGTATATACAGTGTAGGAATCAAGGAAAGAGGCTTGTGATTGTCTTGTGTTGTGGTTGTTGTTCACTCCTGTGTGTGTTTTCTGTCTTTCCCTTCCTGTTTTTAAACTCAAACAGGGATCAATAAATCAGCCAGGTTATTGGTCCCTGGAAAACCACGAGCACTCTGTAAACATTTGACACAGGCTTGCATGGAAGCAGCATGTTAGGTTGAAGGCGCTTTGACTTGATTGCACCTCGTCTTTAGACTGAGCGGTCTCACGCTGCCAGTGATGCCAATATGATTTAACGCAAGGGAATGTAGCCAGAATTGTACCCAGGGGTAAATTTGTCCATGACTTACTTACTTCCAACTTGACAGGAAGCTCTGTGATGTGCTCGGTGCACGCACAGAGCTAAACTTTGCTTGTTAAGTTTTTGGTCCGAAAGGGAAAAGAAGAGACGAGGCTGCTGTTTCTGACAGACTGGCACTGGGAGAAAGAGATCTGTGTGGTGATGAGAGTGGGAGTTAGCTTGAGTCAGACAACTTAGACTACAAGAAAAACTGAGTAAACAAAATTTAATTTTTATTTATAAACTCTTTAGGGGGGTGGTAGAAACAGTCTGTGTATTTTAGAAAAGATGGAGGGTTGTTGTTTGCTTTATACACTTGTGTCAGATTCAAAAGAAAAACTGACTCCATGAAATGTTTTAAATGTTTTTGAGCCAGACCTGCAGGAAAAAAGATCAAACTAAAAGTCAACTATAGATTACAAAGTGCAAATTAAGCTTCAACAAATTGCTCATTGATGCATATCTTAATTTGCAATTACTCTATAAAACATTTATTATTTGTTCAAAATTAACCAAATGACAAACTGGGACACATTAATTAGACATTTTCTCCTAATAATATTGTGTTTGTGCTTACCCTTACAGAAAAACAACACATAAGTTTTGTGCATGTAATCCCAGTTAGAAAACTTGTTCTACCTCCTGCCTGTAGCTGGACTCATCATTGTTTGTGATGCATCCAACCACTGCTGTGTCATCTGCAATTTTGCTCACAACAGACAAATGAGCAAGCACACAAAAGGCATTACCACCTGCTTTTCACCTTTTCACTTTTAATGTTAAACCTAAACAAAATAATGTATTTTTGATGAAATGCAGCATGAATGATGAGTGCTAAGTTATATTGTTTAAGTTTGTTGAAGGAGCTAAAAGCAGCAAAACTCTTGCTGAAAGCTAAATTTAGCATCCATCCTTCATCTCCCGCTTGTTTCGAAGTTGGGTCTTGGGCGCAGCAGCTTGAGCAGGGAGGCCCAGACATCTCTTTCCACAACCTCTTCCAGCTCTTCTGGGAGGACTTCAAGGCATTCCCAGGCCAACTGAGAGACGTAGTCTCTCCAGCGTCTTCCCCGAGGTCTCCTCCCAGTCGGACATGCCTGAAGCACCTCAACAGGCTCCTCTCGATGTGGAGGAGCAGCGGTTCTACACTGCCTCTTCTCCCTCTTCACCACAACGGACCGGCACAGAGTCCGCAATACTGCAGACACTGCACCAATCCGTCTGTCAATCTCACGCTCCATTCTTCTCTCACTCGTGAACAAAACCCTGAGACACCTGAACTCCTCCACTTGAGGCAGAACCTCACCCTCGACCTGAAGAGAGCAACCCACCCTTTTCTGACTGCAGACCACTAAATCAATCAATGCTACTAAATGTAACATAAGAACAAAAAATGAACGAGTGATGAGGCAGATGTATTTAAAAGAAATGAAGAAATCTCACTGTATTTCTAAGGAACAAATATCTGTAAATAAAGTTCATGTATGAGCTGAAAGTTTTAATATATGAATGGCAAAAAACAAAGTATGGAGAATTAGATCGCAATAATCTCACTAAAATATAAAAAAACAGGAAAACAGTGTGACTGCTGATTCAGCATTCACACTGTTGTTTTCAAAAATCGAACAACTTCTCCAAGTTATTTGTTAGAAAAATACTCATATTTATTCAAATATACTGTAGGTTTGTTAATAGGATGAGCTGCATCAGCATTTCATCAGAAATAGAAACAGTAGATTCATATAATCTGTGCTAGTTTATCAAGTCCATCAGTGTGGGTGGTGTAGTCGTTGTGAAGCTCACTCAGGAGAATAGTGATGTCGCCTCGCATAAACATTTCTACAGTCCACGCGGCATTCGCTCCTCTGGAGTCCAGACCTTCAGATCGTGTTTTCAGCGCCGCTGCCAGGCTCACAAACACACAAAAAAGAAAATCATCAGAGGAAAACGCGGAGGACAGCGCTGACAGAAATGTAAAAACAAACACAGACGCGTTCACGTATAAAGATTTCAGACAACAAACCAGAACACACAGAAAGTGGTGCACGAACAGTGGACGCACGGTTTCACACCAGCACACAAACGCATCATTATCCCACTTCCACACGCACGCCCGTGGACCGAGGCAGCCGGCGCACATATCACAGTCGCACATCGTCAGCGGGCACAGCTGAGAAAACAGATTGGGCTTGTTTGTTTGTTTGTTTGCTCTCCTCTCTGTTTGTTTGCTGTGCTTCAGCCAATGAAAAACCAGCATCTCAAGCATCATTAGGAGGCTAAAGAGGGCTCTTTGTGATCAGCCACGTATGCTTCTCAGCGTTTACGTTGTGCACGTCAGCATCCACGCTAATGTGCATGATGTGTGTGAGTTGGTGTTTGGATGCTGAGGGATTCAGAGCATCCTTGACAGGTGGACACAAAAGCCGACATGATGGGTGGTGTTTTCGGTGAAAGCAGGTGTCGACGTTCAATCTTTTCATGTCACAGCCGCAATACATCACGGTTTGCTGTAAAAAGGCTGACAGGCAGAGCCTCCCCGACTGTGTGCAGACTAAATATTTGTCTGGTTTTGGCCAGAGCAGGGACCCTCCTCCATGTTCAGTTTCACGTTGAATAAGATTTCTGATGAGGACTTGAATTTAGAAGCGACTGAATGAGTTGGACGTCCTGGTGAATGGGGACGCTTTGGGTTCCAGCTGCAGTTACAAAGCTTTACGTAGCGTTAGCTATTGTTAGCACGGACTGGTGGGGCATTGCTGGTGTGGTGAAGATTAAGATGATGACTGCATGTGTCAGAGCTCCCCCACCTCTTACTCAAACCCCCACACCCTGCCGCCTCACATTTCCACCTCTCATTTACTCGCACAAGAAGCAGTTACTCCTGTACCTTTTCCCCCCCCCCCCCCCCCCCCCTCCCATCTCATTCTCTCCTTTTTTTTTTCCTATTCTCACCCAATGCATTGTCAGGAAACAGCTCATCAGGCAGAGACATCCATCCAAATGGCTGGCTTTTGTCAAAACAATCCAAGACAAACATGCTCTCCCTGAGCAAAAAGGAGCCACAGCTTGAGCAGCAACACCTCTCTGATGTTTTTCAGGCCTCTGGCTGTGCTAACAACAAAATAAGTGTTGGTTGTGCGTCTGGAACATTTCACTATTTGCCCCCTCTGCGCTGACGCTGTCCGTGCCAGGATACCGACAGGATGCTCACGCCCTGTTTGGCAGTCAGAAAGCAGGAGGTTTGCCAGATAAATGAAGTTGCCAATTAACAAAGTCAAGGTTGTGTTGTGTTGCTGAGTTTGTTCCAGTCCAGAGAATCTGCAGCCTCTCGTATCAATCAAGCCAGCGACTTGTTGTCAAAGATAAACGGAGCTGTATTCAGAATATTCATAAAAGCTCAGGTTCGGCTCTGAATGCAAATGATTTCTCTTTCCTTTTGTGTCTGTGTGTTTCCAGCTCCGGGCTCATGCAGTGGACATAAATGGGAACCAAGTGGAGAACCCCATAGATCTGTACATCTATGTGATCGACATGAACGACAACAGGCCCGAGTTTCAAAACCAAGTTTATAACGGCTCCGTGGCTGAAGGCTCCAAACCAAGTGAGTGTGAACACAGTGAAGATCATCAAGCTGAGCAGAGCTGCTCATTTTTAATTTCAAATATTTAAACACCGTGGGTGACAGCTGATTGAAAACTATTTATTTTAGAGTTCATGGTAAAATAAAAAAGTTGACTTGCCTAAATCTTTTTAGATTTAGGCAAGTCAACTTATACTGATATACTGGAATTTTTAGGATGAGTGTTTTTCACATGGTGGCACGGTTGGTCAAGTTGCTGCTTCACAGCAAAAAGGTTGCTGCATCAAATCCTGGTGGAGTTTGTATGTTCTTTCCGTGCATGCGTGGGTTTCCTCCCATAGACTTAGACATAGTCACAGACATAGTCTTCCTCCCAGGCTCTCATCGAGGTGGCAGCTTCCGTTTTTCCTTCTTCCTGCTCTGCTCTCTGTCTGTCTGAAGCGCCTGGGTCACATCTCCCGAACATAAGTTAAGAAGATTATGGATTTGGTATCGTGGGTGTTCAACTCTATTGATAAGATTTTTTCATCAAAGCGACAAGGTTCTGGAGAACCGGCGTGTCAAGCTGAGACTCACGCTGTGGGGTACGTCATGGATTCATGGGGAGTGTTGCAGATGATATGTCTCTCAGTCCTGTCTCAGGTGGATGTTGAAGACATTTACATATTTGGACTTATGATAGCAGGGACTCTGCTTTTTGGCATCGGCTCTGTTTTGTAGATTTTTGAAGAAGACGGCGGCAGCAGTTTCGGCCATGGAAAAGCTTCCGAGTCAGTGTGAAGGTCTGGTCCACGATGTGGGAACTTTAAATCGTCTGGTTTATGAGCTTAACCGTAAGGTGGAGGCGATTTATGAGAATCGCAGGCCACCTGCGGCTTCTGGGACTCGTCAGCGTGGTGGGTTCGACCTTGAAGGAGACTCATAGCATGGATCAGTGGAATGGAATCCCACAATTAGGTATTTTTGAAACCAGAACACCCAGATGGACTCTAGGCTGGAAAAAAGTAATCTGTCTGCCTGAAGAAAAACAAGAATTAAGCTTATCTGAATCTGACTCCCCGACGGCCTTGGAGACAGGCCGACTATCAAATTTCTCCTGGGACATGAGTACCCAAGGACAAAAGCTTCAACTATCGCTATGTATTTCTAAACATAATGTCCCAGTGGCTTTTAAACCCCAAAAAACATTACGGCAAAGACTGGTTCATCCCAAAGATCCAGACCCCCGGCACAAACAGAGTAATATTGTGTACGCTGTTCAGTGTCAGGAGGGCTGTGATCAGTCTTACATCGGGGAAACAAAACAGCCACTGGCCAAAAGGATGGCCCAGCACAGAAGATCAACATCATCAGGCCAGGACTCTGCGGTCTACACTCATCTCCAGGCCAGCGGTCACTCTTTCAGGGATGAAGATGTTCACATCCTGGACAGAGAGGAACGATGGTTTGAGAAAGGAGTAAAGGAGGCCATCTTTGTGAAAAGAAATCATCCATCGTTAAACAGGGGTGGAGGCCTACGTGTTCAATTGTCCCCCTCTTACAATGCTGTGATTGCTAGTATCACTCAGCCCTCTGTGAATAGTAAACAGCCATCAGTGTGCTAATGATCCATTGTTAGGCTGATGGTCCTTCTTGAGCATGTGATCAGCTGGTCTTGGTTGTCAGCAGCAAAACTGGTTGATCCACTCAGAGAAGGTGCTATTTAAGAGACTGAGCTGAATGCAGCACCTCAGACTGAGGAAGTCTCTCGGATGAGAGACGAAATGTTTCTACATTTTTTTGTTGTTTTGCTTTGTTTTTTTTTAATGTCCAGAGGACCAGATTTAACTTTTTTAGATTTTTCTACCTGGATTATTGAGCATGCATCAGGATATTCTGAACCATTCAGTTATTATTCATTCACACGGTCTGCTCCATGCTCCAGAAAGAAAAAAAACATCCAAGTTCAGTCAGCGTGACAGAAACAAAATAAAGATCACATACAGTATATTAAGGATTCAAGGTTCTTTATTGTCATTCGCATCGCATGTGGAACATGAGGTAGAACGAGCTTGTGTACTCAGAATCCCAGTTACATCCAACAAACATAAAAATATAAAGTGTAAAAAGAAACAGTAAATAAGGATCTAAGATATAAACTAAGCTATATAAATATACACTGTACATTAATATATGTGTGTGTATATATATATATATATATATATATTTTTTTTTTTTCCCTTCTTGCCCTCGGTGAAAGCAAACACATTTCCCTCCTGCTCCTTCCCTGCTCTGCTCTTTGTCCTGTGAACCTTTTAAATTCACCACCTTCGCTGGCCTCATATGTTTCTATATCACCAGTATGTTGCTTTTTTTGTGCTGGGGTTTTTTTTCCTAACAGAACATAGCATGAAATATGATTTTTGTTTTTTTTACCTCTTCTTCCCTCGTGTTTCTCTTCTGATCCAACGAAAAAGGAAGTGCCTCTCAGTGAGGCTGCAGCCTCAGACACCCCGTCTACCCTGTCTGTTGTTTGTTACTTTAACAAATGCTAAACGGTATGCTAAAAGATCTAAGATATACGCTAACACTTCTTCTTCTTTTGGCTTTTCCCTCTTCAGGGGTCGCCACAGCGAGTCATCCTCCTCCACATCACTCTGTCCTCTGCATCCTCTATCCTCACTCCAACTACCTTTATGTCCTCTCTAACTGCATCCATATATCTCCTCTTTGACCTTCCTCTTTGTCTTTGTCCTGGCAGCTGCATTTCTAACATCCTTCTACCAATATACCCACGGTCCCTCCTCTTGACATGTCCAAACCATCTCAGTCTGGCCTCCCTAACTTTATCTCCCAGTTGTTCAACCTGTGCTGTACCTCTGATGATCTCATTCCTAATCTTATCCAACCTCGTCATTCCTAAGGAGAACCTTAGCATCTTCATTTCTGCCACTTCCAGTTCTTTCTCGTCTTTTTGTTAATGCCTGCCACTGTCTCTAGACCATACAACATAGCTGGTCTCACCACTGTCTTGTAAGCTTTTCCTTTGACCTTTGCTGACACCTTTTTGTCACAAATCACTCCTGAAACTTTTCTTCATCCACTCCATCCTGCCTGGACTCTCTTTTTCAATTCTTTACCACATTCCCCATTTTCTTGGACAGTGGACCCAAAGTACTTGAAGTCCTGCACCTTTGTGACCTCTGCTCCTTGTAGCCTCACTGTTCCACTGGCCTCCCTCTCATTCACACACACGTACTCTGTCTTACTACGGCTGACTTTCATTCCTCTTCTTTCAAGTGCATACCTCCACGTCTCCAAGTTCTCTTCCACCTGTTCCCTGTTCTCATCACAGATCACAATGTCATCTGCAAACATCATCGCCCATGGGGTTTCTTGCCTGACCTCATCTGTTAGTCGGTCCATCACCAGAGCAAACAAGAAGGGGCTCAGAGCCGATCCTTGATGCAATCCCACCTCCACCTTGAAGCTATTTGTCACTCCTACAGCACATCTCACCACTGTCCTGCTGTCCTCATACATGTCCTGTACCAGTCTAACATACTTTTCTGCCACTACAGATTTCCTCATGCAATACCACACCTCCTCCCTCGGCACTCTGTCATATGCTTTTTCTAAATCCACAAAGACACAATGGAGTTCTTTCTGACCTTCTCTGTACTTCTCCATCAGCATTCTCAAAGCAAAGATGGCATCTGTGGTGCTTTTTCTTAGCAAGAAACCATACTGCTGCTCACAAATAGTCACCTCTCATCTAAGTCTTGCTTCCACAACTTTCTCCCAGATCTTCATCGTGTGGCTTATCAACTTAATTCTCCTGTAGTTGCTACAACTCTGTACATCACCCTTGATCTTAAAAATGGGCACCAGCACACTTCTTCTCCATTTCTGAGGCATTTTCTCACCCTCAAATATGCCATTGAATATTTGAGTCAAAAACGTCACTGCCATCTCTCCAAGACATTTACAGACCTCCACTGGTATGTCATCAGGTCCTACTGCCTTCCCCTTCTTCATTCTTTTCAGAGCTTTCCGGACTTCACCCTCACTAATCTTTCACACTTCCTGGCCCACAGTTTCCATGACCTCTAATCTTTTTTTTCTTTCATTCTCTTCATTCATTAGCTCCTCAAAGTATGCCTTCCATCTTCCCGTCACACTCTCCTCACTTGTTAGAACATTACCATTCCTATCTTTAATAAGCCTAACCTGCTGCACATCCTTTCCAGCCTGATCCCTCTGTTTTGCCAATCGGTACAAGTCCTTCTCTCCCTCTTTAGTGTTCAGTCTCCCATACAACTCATCATACGCCCTCTGCTTTGCCTTAGCTACTTGCCTCTTTGCTCTACGTCCCATATCCTTATATTCCTGTCTCCTCTCTTCAGTCCTCTCACTGTCATATTTCTTCTTGGCTAATCTCTTTCTTTGAACGGCATCCTGCACTTCACTATTCCACCACCAAGTTTCTCTATCATCCATTCTCTGTGCAGATGCCAAACCAAGTACCTTCCTACCTGTCTCTCTAATTAATGTTGCTGTAGTAGTCCAGTCATTTGGAAGCTCTTGCTTACCACCCAGAGCCTTTAACAGCTCCCCTCTGAATTTCTCACAATATTCTTCCTTCTTCAGCTTCCACCATTTGGTCTTCTTCTCTGATTTTACTCTTTTTCTCTTTTTCACAACAACAGTCATTCTACACACAACCATCCGATGCTGTCTGGCCACGCTCTCCCCTGCCACAACCTTACAGTCCCCAATCTCCCTCAGGTTTCCTCTTCTACACAGAATGTAGTTGACCTGCATACTCCTTCCTCCACTCTTATAAGTCACTCTATGTTCCTCCCTCTTTTGGAAATAGGTATTGACTATAGCCATTTCCATTCTCTTGACAAAATCCACCACCATCTGTCCTTCCTGGTTTCTTTCCTTGACACCAAATCTACCCATCACTTCCTCATCCCCTCTGTTTCCTTCACCAACTTGTCCATTCAGGTCTACTCCGATCACCACTCTCTCCTCCC